CAAGGTTTTGTCATCATCAGGTGACAAAACCTTGTCGAAACGTTGTACATTTGCTGTCATGTTAAAGTTATATTAAGTTTTTCTTCATTACCCATTTAAGCCGTCTCCAGCCATTATATTGTTATTTTATTCTAAATTTTACAGAAACCAAGCTAAATCAATATTATGCACTATTAGCGTGATATTTGTTTTTTAGATTATGTTCTTTTTATTAGTTTGTTAAATAGAAAAAAGTAAAACTCAGGATAAATGGCATATTCCTGATAGCATTGTTTCAATTGAACAATTTACAGAATTAATTACACGTAAACTCGAATTTGTGAACGAAAACCAAAAAACAAACAAAACATTCCTGCTGTAAGTGATGTATTGATAATGATAAATCAATAAACATTCAACCCAGATTTATATATATTATTTTCTTTTTTCGAAACAGGAACTCTCCGGTGATATTTATAAAACCTTGAGTAGGTACTATTTATTCTCGTATATCAAAAACACATGAAACTTTCCGGATTACGCAAAGCTTTTGTACATATATATAAAGAATGGGGTTGCTCCACTTTAGCTCCCCTTTTTCGCTTTTTCTCTCGCTTTTCAGGATTTTCTGCCAACCACAATCTATTTCTTGAATCCCCAGTGGATAAAGTAAATGCACTCTCGAGTGTTTGATGCGTCAATGAGAAGAAACAAAGGACTTTGGAGTCCCTATAGAATCTACACTAAAAGATCCTGGGTATGCTGTCTTGATGAAAACTTTAATCTCGCCAGTCCAACATCAAAGGTTTCCAGTTACTTCCCGAGCTAGAAACACTGTATGTTGTTTCATGTCCTACCTCGCCGTCGAGAAGATCCATGTGATTTAAATTCTGGTTGTTTGTTTCTTTGTTTTTGAATTTCGCGCAAAGCTACACGAGGGCTATCTGCGCTAGCCGTCCCTAATTTAGCAGTGTAAGACTAGAGGGAAGGTAGCTAATCATCACCACCCACCGCCAACTCTTGGGCTACTCTTTTACCAACGAATAGTGGGATTGACCGCGGAATTAAAACGCCTCCACAGCTGAAAGGGCGAGCATGTTTGGTGTGATGGGGATTCGAACCCGCGACCCGCAGATTGCGAATCGAGCGCCCTAACCACCTGCTCATGCCGGGTCCTCTATTCTGTTACTTCATCGCTTAACAAGAGAAAATTATTAGTTATTAAGAGCTTTATTTGTTCATTTAGGCTGTTCTTTTGTACCTCAACTGATTTTCTTTATCAGACTTAAGAAAATAAACTATCGTCTTAGTTCGAAATAAGAGTTGAAATCGAACAACATTTATTTCTTAAAGTTTTAAAAATGTAGAAAATGCATCGCAATAACGTCTGAAAATAGCCAAATTTTAGAGATACTCAAACATGTTAATCAAATTTCGAAAATTAAAAAGTTTTATTGAAAAACAACGATTATTTTATACACAATTCAATAAAATGAGATTGTTTTCAGTCTCCAAATTATTAAAATAAAATAATAACTTACTGTACAAGGCTAAAAAGTAGTAAAATCGCCGACGTGATTGGAAAACAATCTCATTTACTCTACATGTTTCGACATATATCTTGCGTCATCCTCAGGAGTGTAACGTTTTGCAAAATAAGACTTTGTACTAACGAGTCAGTGACAACACAAAAAAAATCCCATTTGACAGATATCCTTTTTTTGGCATGTTTGATACTAGAAAAACAGGGAAATAGCGAAAACTGCCATCTGTATTTATGTAAAAACTGTACATAAACCCTTCTTCCAATCTACCCTCACACAGACTTTATTATTATCATTATTAATATCCTATTACTTTCAGATCTTCTAACGTCAGCTGCTAAGAAGATAATATAAAACATTTCATTCTTTTAGAATAGCCCGGCATCGCCAAATGGTTAGAGCGTTTCACTCGCAATCTGAGGGTCGCGGCCTCGAATCAACGTCCCATCAAACATGCTCGCCCTTTCAGTCGTGGGGGCATTATAACGCCACGGCCAATCCCACTCTTCGTTGGTAAAAGAGTAGCCCTAGTGTTGGCGGTGGGTGGCAACGAGTTCCCTCTAGTCTTTCACTGCTAAGTTAAGACTGCTTTTAGAACTCTATGGGAAACTGTTTTCCTACAACTGGCTGCTGACAGTGAAAGGCAGTAGTAGTTGAGACGACGTGGGTATTAGCACTCAACTTCGTAACTTTATTTGATTTTCCATGATTACTGGTTAGCTGAACATCAGCGTGTGGATTTGGTCTGATAGATATGTGTGCTATTGCCATAGGCATTATCCGTTATGCCATCAAGTTAACAATTAGGATCAACAATTGCAGTTATAACAATGCTTATTTTATATTAAGTTCATTATTGTTCTAGAGCGCTGATTTTAATCGACTATTAACAGTTAAGGTAACTAATAGTATTTGAGCTACTTATATATATATACATGTATTTTTCTTCGTTGCTTTAATTTAAATTTATTCAAAACATGTCTGCTTTTTGCTTTTATTTTTCATCAAAAAAAGAACTTTTATATTCTCTTTGGACATTAAAGTGGAATAATGTTTGCGGTGTTTTTTAATAAAGAAATTATAATCCTTGTAAAATAATACTTTATACGTTTATACAATATACGTAAAAAAACATGCCGTGTATGAATCAAGGCATTTCACCTTTAAAAACATTTACTTTATTTATACGTGATGTTTCATAACTTTAAGAAGTAAACACATATGATAATTCATTTTTTTTTCTATTTGCATAAACTTTATGAACTAACATTACCAAAATTAAAATGATTTTTAACTAAAATGGATACAATGTTCAAAACGATAATTTCTTTCTTTCTTTGCTGATTCCATCGGGGACAATAACCTACAGCTAGTTTCCTTCCCATTTCTCATTAACAAGCAAACCATAGTCATTAATTTGGCAGGAAATAATTAATGTGTTCCACAAGTCGTCTTATACACAGGAGAACGAACACCAATGGAAGTCTTCCATTAAACGATGAAGACGCTGAATCTAAAGAAACAAGTAAAATGTAAGAAATAATAGAAAATTCATATCCGTGAAAAAAATGAAAAAACTGGACAAAATTTATATGCTCCAAAAACAATGAAAATGTTCTTAATTGGGAGAACAATTATGTTTTCATCGAAGACTCAAATATAATGGTGTTTCACAAACACCGAAATGAAGAGAACGTGGATAAATCGAATGTAAATTTCGAAACTGAAATTATTTAACAAAAATGACATATCGAGGAAACCTTCTAATAACGAATGAGGTTATGACTTTTACTTGTATCTGTCAGATAAATTATTAATATATCCTTGCAGTGTTTGAAAATTGAATACTTGTATGTAGTGAGACCTTGATATGCGATAACGTTTTATACATTATTACAACAAATTACTAAGCTAATCTGACGAAAGTCACCTTTTCATTATACCTAATTAAATCCAAATATGAGTAAAGATATTTGTGACTGGACTTATCCATGCTTTAAATATTTGTAAATTATTACATATTAGCATGTTTATTTCAGATTATCACAGAAAAACGTATAATACAAGTACCAATAAGAGCCTTCTTTTAAACATTAATTATACAGTTTGACAGCCGTCGAGTTAAGCATGGCAACTGTAGTAAATTCAGTATTCGTCAGTTGAATTTCTGACCCAACAATATCTCTCTAAAAAAAAAACGGTTTATTTCTTTGCTTGTTTTAAAGCGCAAAGCTACACAATGGGAAGTCTGTGATGTGACCACCACAGGTATCTAATCGCAATTTTTAGTATTATAACCCTTAAACTTACTACTTAGCCATCAGGTGCATTCTTGCTTTGTGTTTAAAGTGTTGGGAACGATGATGGATTTATAGATTTACTTTTAGTTGGTTTTATCCTAAACTTGCGTCCTGTCCACCGAGCGATGTCGAATCTCAGATTTTAACGTTGTCAGTCTGTAAACTAGCCGTTGACCCATCAGTGATCGTTTTAGCTTTAAAATATTTGCACGTGTATTGTCTTTCCTTGGAGAGTTTTTCCCTTTTCTTAACCTTGCAGTAAAATAACGAGTCATGTAACATGTGGCTACATTATTTCATGGAAATTAGTATGTATATATATGTCTGGATGGTAAACTTGTAAACTAACTCATTGATAAGCTGTGGTGACTGAAATGTATTAACAGTTTATATAGGATAAGAGGAAGAATAGCACACTCTCCAATATCAGCTTCCATGTGCTAAAGCAGTGGTGCGTCATTGCAGACTCAAGCCGCGGTTCTATATGTAGCAAGTTTGTTATTTCTTGATATGGTACGTATTGACGTCACTGGTAGATATGCAACTACAATAATATGACACAACTTTTCCCACAAAGGTCATTTGTATAACCAGATTATTAAACTAATGTAGAGGCAAAGGACATAACATTTCAAAGAAGTGTGACTTCACTGTTTCCCATAGAATCTGAAAACTCGCTCAGCAGAACGTTTATAAGATAACAAAGGCCTCTAAACCATATCATAAAACTATTCTGAGCAACGCCCTTATCTTCAAAATGATGTATATTGTTACAAAATAAAGTTCTTAAAACTATTCTGAGCAACGCCCTTATCTTGAAAATGAAGTATATTGTTACAAAATAAAGTTCATAAAACTATTCTGAGCAACGCCCTTATCTTCAAAATGAAGTATATTGTTACGAAAATAAAGTTCATAAAACTATTCTGAGCAACGCCCTTATCTTCAAAATGAAGTATATTGTTACAAAATAAAGTTCATAAAACTATTCTGAGCAACGCCCTTATCTTCAAAATGAAGTATATTGTTACAAAATAAAGTTCTTAAAACTATTCTGAGCAACGCCCTTATCTTCAAAATGATGTATATTGTTACAAAATAAAGTCGATCATTTCCCCTGGAACTGTTATGATTCTACAAGTGGAAAATTCTTCGAAACATAATTGCACACAGAAATCTATTGAACAATAATGTACATAGTAGTTATGATCAACATACAAAATTACCAAATGTACAATTGGTTAAAGATATGATACAGAAAAGACTTGATTTCTTTATTTTCTTTTTGGCTTCCTTAATCCTTTGGGCCAAGTGTTTAACAAACTGGGCTGTGGCACAAAGAGTCCGGAATTCGAGATGTGATGCTTGTAGACACG